CTCACCAGTTCGGCTATCGCACGCTCTGGTCTGCACCGCTCGCTAGTCCCCAGTGAATCGAACTTGATATAAGACATCAGGTCCCATGGGTACTGCCAAAACCACTTCTTGAATCGTTCTTCTCTTTGGGTTGATTCCGTACTGATTTAAGGTATCGACCGTACCGGTGTATGTATTGCATGAAGGAGTTTTTCTACACTGAAGAAGAGGGATTGAGTCATGTGCGCTCTCAGCATCACGGCAAGACCGTTACAGTGAGTCTCAAGGGTTTTTTTTTCAATGAAGAGTAGACAGGAAGAAGCTCTCGGTTTCTACTTACATGTCCGTGAAATTCCGTAGCAGTTTATGTGAAAAAGTCAGGTTCATGTCTTATGACCATTCAAAGGCAGTGGACACGATTGCTGGAATCGAGCGGTTGTTGCCATCGTCATTGATGAAGGAGGGTGGTTCAACGTTCTCTGGTGGTATAGCAGACGCTACTCCCCTTCACGATGACGCTCGCAACATCCCCCCCCCACCAGCAGCAGTAGTGACGGCTATCTCTGAAAATTTTGATAGGGAGGAAAGTAAAGGGAGATTTTTTGTTGTGGTACCTGCTTATAGCCGACGATCGCGATCCAAGAGTTGGCCCTGCCTAGGAACCAATCTTTAGCCCGTAACCAAGAACTCCTGTTTTAAAGGGAGTACAGTGTTGATTGACTGTAAGAGCAGAAATAGAGAATGACCTCCGAAATAATCCTTCATTGTGTGAGAAAAACCTGTATTTTAGCTGTTGCGGGAGTACCATGACGATAAGGAAAAACAACTGGAAGATGCGTTTTGCGCTCTTTTCCTCGCCGTTCGAGAAGGAGTAAGTTGGTATATTTGTTGCTGTTTGCAATCTTTATTCAATCTGTGAGAAACTGGTTTCGATTTGAGAGGATAATTGCGTCTTCTTATTATTGATGGTTCAGCCAAATTTCACCAGTGAACGTGCTGCTGCAATCGAGAGAGCTGCATTTATGCACCTTCAAAAATTCAAGCGTATGCGAATGAAAGTGCCTGAGTTCGCAACGAGAGCGAAGTAGGTTTCATTTTATTTATCCTAATTTTCTATCGAATGCGCACGTGTTAGCCGCTGGGGAGCTTTTGCAAAATACGACCTCAAAATTTCCTCCTACAGTGCGACCGTAAGGAAAGTTCTCAAGGTTAGCTACGGCTGCCCTCCCCTCCCCCCCCCAATCCCTCTCAGTGCGACAACAGATGCAAGCCCCTCAACCCAGTGGAAGTTTACCAACGATGTGGATAGTGTGCGTGCAACAGGAAAAATTGCTTGTCAGAAAATTTTTAAGGCCATGCCAACCTCTTCTCTAGCAACCATATAAGACCCCCGCTGGGATCCCCAGCGTTCGACGTGGCCTGTTAGCGCCACAGGTTTGTTGTGATGGAACTGCCTCGATTTTTACCGAACAGTTGTTGCCTTAATGGACCCAAAAATGGCTCGGAATCCTTCGTTCTGAACCTACTCTATTGACATCTTATCGTGCTAGACCAGTTGCGATACCTCCCAAAGCCCGTTAAAGAGAAACTCGCCTTTGAAGAACCGCACCCTCCGCGAGAATCCACCGGCGCCCTATCGTTCCCGATAGAGTGAACAACAGGGGACGAACGAAACGCAGTTGGCATTAGAGTTAGGGCTTAATGCCCCCAAGTGCTCTGTTCTCAGAATCCACATAAACACATGAAGGGTAGGAAGCCTATTGGCCGAGGATTCATTCTGGTTAATCAGCTTTGCTCAGATTTCTCACTCGATTAGCAATGTTTGACTTTTGTCATTGGAACTACTTCCCCCGATGTTCTTCTAGTCAGTTCACTGAGTGGAATAATTTGGTTGCAGCTCTTTTAAGTGCAGGATGATCTTTGACACGCACCCATCCTTCCCGTATCAGTAATAGAGATTTGTTCGCAGTTTGGACGATCGTTGCCATCTGCGAGGCGAATGGTTCAACAGTTGCTTATAAATTTTGCTCGAAGGGCCCTTCTTCTACATTTTCTACACACATTACACTATATTTATCTGCATTACATGCCCCGCCCCCAGATAACTCCGCCCCTTTTTGTCGCGACACAATTTACATGTATGTTGTGTTTTTGTTAGTGCAGTTGCGCCACGTTCTCCGCTCAAAACTACACGGGAGCGCGACCTGTAGGGTGGTTGTATCTGAGTGCCCTTCGTGCTCCGTCCGCGTTGTCCCCTAAGTGCAGCGCTTGCGTCGATACCGTGGTTCTCAGCGAAACACGTACTCAGTGTTAGAGAACGATCAGAAATGAGAGGACCTAGACAGGTGGCGCGTTTGGCTATGTTAGGCATGCGGCTAGCTCAGGCATCACTAACCTCCAGCTCCATTCCTGTGCTCTTTTAACCGAAAAAAAGTGGCACGGTACTGCAGCTGCGGACCCATTCTCCCCACACACGGCAATTGCCAGGTTTCGCGTAGGTGAGTGTTTAGCTTGTCTTCGATTACTGATATGTACTACCTCGAAGGGCGCAGTGTCCCTCTCTTCGAAATAAGCATGTTGTGTCGAACCCATTCTCCCCACACACGGCCAAATGCCTAGGTTCCAAAAAATTACACTAGGCAAAATCAACTGTACCTGTTCTAATGTTTCTCTTCATTTGAAACCACTAGGTTGTGCTATCTTCCTTTAGCTTACTTAGATACTACGGTTTTACTGTTAAGGTGCATGCGTGATTTTGCTTCACAAACGTTTGCTTCGATGTCTTCTCCTCATACAATGGTCCCTTCCATGAAGTTTATGGCGGAACCACGGCAAACATTTGAGCACTTGCAACACCATCTTGAGCCATTGCAACAGTCTCGAGTATCTGCGATGCCTATGAAATCATGAGATGGATCATTCGCAATGGGCATGCATAAGCGTTATGTAAGTTGATTTTTGTTTAGAACGTTCATTCATGTCCTGTTCAGCTACTCATCACAATCAATACGAATGAAATGTGATTATAGGTTCGTATGAGCAACGGCGAGTTGGCTGAGATCAATGAGCAATACGTAATAGCAGAAGTGAGTGCGTACATTTTGAGTTTTCGATGGAGGGTATCGCCACAGGGTTGCTATTAGAGCTAGGAAATGCCTATCAAGGCGAGATGGTAACACCCTCAATGTCATTACAGTAAACGTCATGACACTTGGAAAGAAGTATTTCGGAATTATCAAAGGCAAACTGTTAGGTCAGTCCGTCCATGCTGGTCCTCAAAGTGAAGTGGGTGGGGCCACTGCTGCTGATACGTAGCATTTATACAGGTGAAGAGTGCACGGCAACGGGACTGGAGATTGGTGATACCTTGGTGCTGTCTCCATACCCAGCTCGCCTTGCAGCACGCCTAACCATAGCCAAACGCGCTAGTTGCTGGCCCCTTTCATTTCTGGTTGTTCTCTACGACAGCGTTCAGACTTGATGGGTTTTCAAGCGCAGTAACACGCATTGCTGCGCTTAAACGCGCGTTCCCGCGCTTGAACACGCGTTGCCGCGCTTGTAAACCGTTGCTCTGGCGCCTTGAACACTCCGTTTTCTGCGTGTCAGAGCCTGTTCAAGCGCTTTGACACGCTACAGTTACAAGCGCGTTCGGCACTATTGTACTATTCCTACCCCAGTGACCTCCTAAACCATGATGTATCAGCATCCGCTTGACCCGCAAACCCGGCCTGGCGCCCGGGCGGCCCAAAGACACCATAAATCACCAACTATCGAATGAAAACTCATAATCTTAGTCTGGGCCGCGTTCAGAGTGAGCATGCTGTGGAGCGCAGCAACACCTGTCGCTGCGCTTTAAGGCGTTGCTGCGCTGGGTTGCTGCATAGTAACGCATGTTAAAGCGGGCGGCTTTCTTGAACTATTCCTACCCCAAGTGTTAAAGCGCTTAAACGGTCTCTGACACGCAGCAATGCGTGTGCAGGCGCGGCAACGTGCGTTGAAGCGCAGCAACGCGTGTTGCTGCGCTTGAAAGCGGGTCAAGTCTGAGAGCTGCCTAACGCTGAGTGCGTGTTTGGATGAGGATACTGATATAGACGCGAGCGCTGACATTGAGCATAGCCGCGCCCAATTCCACCTGCGTATAAGCTGAAGGTTCCTCAGAGGTGGCCCTTGCACAGGCGTGATCTTTGAAAACCTATGGCAGGTGCGGCTGCGCATCTGATCATAGATTCACTGCGGAGCACGGATACCCGGGTTCCCCCTCCCACTTTCGTGCTCTGTACCTGAAATTGTTCAGATGAGGCGTCACTGGTCTCGATAAGACGGCACAGACAAGGGATGCATTTCAAGGCGTCGTGCAGTCTCGGGGCCATCTCAGGATATCTTGTCAGCCAAACCTCTCTTCTTCTCTTTTTTCCTTATTCTCCTCCTCTCAAAAACCTGGTCTGGATGCTACAAGAACATGTATCTCTAGCCTCCCAGCGAGGGAATATCCATTTGACAAATGCCTGTAACCGATGACCCCGGGGGGCCTCTCTGAAGTCCATGAGCACCCTCCTCCTGCGAACCACATCTTTACTTTGATTGTAGGATCTACTATTAGTGTTATGAAGTTAGTTGTTTTTCAGGATGAAGAAGGACCTGTTGGTGAATATATAGAAGTGGACTACGTGGATGAAATAATAGATGATGGAGAAGGTCAAGTGCGGGATGATCGAGAAGTGGTAGAGCGCCTTCACGCAGGCGATCACCATGGCATGGAACATCAGTATTAATTCACTTTGAGCCGTGTTTTTGTTTTGATATTACGATTTACACTTCAATCATACCTTTTGCTGGAAGTTCTATAGAGACTCATCAAGGAGATGTTATATGGTAATGAAGTTCTAGTAAATGTGCCGACGTCAGCATCTGTACATGTTGAAAATTGACTTTTCCGAATGCCGATAGGCCGATTCTTATAAATGTGTATATATTACAGATTTGGTGTGGATGATACACAATTATACAATTCGTAATGAAACGGGGTTTGTTTCTCCCCTACCCTTATCCAGTTTTTCGCAGAAAATGGCTTGTTTCTGGAAAATTAAGCAATTCAAAGGCAAAGGGCAGTAAATTCTCTGGGCATGTAAGAGGAAGTAACATCGACATTAAAGGATACCCAGACGCCTTGAGGCAAGCCTTACACAAGTGCCTTTTCAGCGGGAAAGCGGTGCATTTAAGGATCGCCCAGCAAAGCTTACACACCCACGGCGCGTATCTACCCACCTAACCAACGACGGCCCCAAAATGCTGGCACGCGGTCGGCAATTTTTTGTCAGCGTTCAGATAAGCTTTTTTCACTGTTTTCCAATCCCACAGTCCTGACTGCTGAGTGGAGCTTTTTCTGTTGACACGATCTCAAGTATTGTTGTGACGGAATACTCTTTTTGGCAGAGTGCAAGTTTTTCATGCGTGTAGTGTCCGTTTTGTGATTTTAGTCTTCCTGCGAGTTCTCGGCAGTTACAGTCGTTAATCCGGGCCCTTGATTCAGGCGGCTGGCGGCGCCGTCACGACCGGGCCACCAGTTGTTTCCAAGCCGGTCCTAGCCATGTTCCTCCCTATCACTGTTTTTTCTACCTTTTTTTCACGGCAGGACACATCGTTGTTGGGGAATCCCTCCCCCCCTAATTGGGGGGGGGGGTCGTTTTAAGGCCGCCAGGAGATGGGGGTCGTTTGATAGCTGATTTTTTCTCGCTTCGCGGACGTTGTAAAGGGGGGCGGGTCGTATTTACGTTTTGGCGTTTGTGGGAGTGGCGGTTGACTTTTGGTGCTTTCCGCGTTCGCGAGCGGTACTATATGCCTCCCCCGCCTCGAAAGGCGTAAAATTATTTGGGGAAAATAGGGGAAGGTTTGTCGTGATTTTGAAAAAAAACGTGGCAGGAATTGCGGGGAAAATTGTGGATTGGCGGTAGAGAGAGGAGGAGGGGGTTTCGTATTGGTCTCCGCTACTTACACTCTGTTCAGCATGTGCTATTACTCCCGCCCCGCCGATGGTGTTCACAAACAGTAACACGTGCCGGGTGCTGTCGCGGTCGCGTCACGGCGTCTGAGCTCCTCTATGTAAAAAAAGAGAATCTCGTTCTCTGTTCACCAATAGGTTGAGTGTGTACATTCAGCTAGACCAAATGGTCCACAACTCACACCCATGCCTAGTTTCCCTTGGGGAGCGGTGCGAGGTGAGTCTTCGGGAGAGAGGATGTATGGGGAGGTTTTTCGCAATTGGGTGCTTAACTCTCCCTGTTAGGCTCACGGGCCAAGAGAGGGAGCGCAATTACAGTTGCTATACGAAAGCATGTTTTAGGCTGAAGGGGAATCATTGATTTGCTAATGTCGGGACTTCGTTAATGAGGACACGACAGTCGATTACGATTACAAGGTATTTAGTTATCACTAAGGATGAACGGCGACAGCTCGACTAACAACTCTGCTAATAGCTCTAATCAGAGTGTGTCAGGTATAGTTGTTTAATTAATTGAAGTACAACGAAACTGCATGTAGAACATTTGTGACACATGACAGTAGCACTTTCAGGCAGCAGGCCAAAATCTGTCAACCTTGCTAACTTTTCCTTGTTGGTGGCTGCTCTAGCCTCAGGTAATGATAGTGGTGTAACAGTTCGGCTGATAAAGTACAGAGAGGACTTACAGAGTTTATGCCTTCATTTTTTCCATGTTTAATTCTTAGAGGATTATCATGAGCTTGCATACAACAGGTAGCGGGACCACGATAAGGTCAAAAGGCAAAATGCGCCAGTTTGATGGTTTTAATATCTTTTGTAGCAGTCTCTCCTCTATTACTCATATTTTGCATTAAGGTGTGCACGGCGACCGGCCGCGTCACCTCGAACGAGGCAACAGCATCGCCCGTGGATCGACCATCAACATCAGGGGGTAAGTCGAAACAGTCTAGGAATGATTGCTGTTGCTATGTGACAAGGAATTCCAAGGTTTGCGCTCCTCTGTTTCAGCCAGCAGCAACTCTTGCCCTCGTCAAAGGGTAAACCTTACGGGCGGCGAGCTGTTTCGTGAAGTTCTGGAGGAAAGTAAGCAAGGAATCTACAAGGTGATAAGGTACCCGATCCAGGTACATCAGTCAGACCTCTTTCCGCCGTTGTAGCTCTTTTAAAAAGCTGTTAATCACAAGTCTTTTACAGGTCAGTCCCTGTGTTATTTGTGTTGAGCACCTCCCTGGAACAATGACGCAGAGCAATGTCGTGTAGCCCTGCAGCGGGATGCCCGGAAGAAGTGGGAAGACCGTCCGCATGCGGTAATGATGAATTTGAAGGCTTGTATTAGGGGCATTTAGTGAATTTGTAGAGTTTCAGGTGGTCAATGCATACACCTCGCTGGCGATCCTGTGCACCTGCCGCTTATCTGCATGCTATGGAGGAACTCGAAGGAGCGAGTATACCGCATATGGCATTAGAGGTGGCACATGAACACTCAGTGGTTATTAACTGTCGATATGAGCGATTGCTCCGATTCATAATCTGTCTGCTGGCAGACGTGTCCAGAAGGTTCCAGAAGGATGCTCGCTTCGCGCCGTTAAGCCTGGTCAGCTGTACCAGCAGGTGTTACTCAAGGTTCACAATAGTGAAGTTTCTGGTAAGCAGCTTGTATACATCCATTCAGTAGAGGTCTGAGTTTCATAGCTTCGCCCCATTTAGACGAAAGGGAGCGGGACGAAATGCTTTGGTTTCTTCGTTCGCGGGCTGGCTACGAATCACGGACAACGCCTCAGCGTTGGCAACGGTATAGCATTAACTTCTAAGTGCCAAACTAGAAGGTTAATGAAATTGAAGTTGGAGCATTAGGGCAACTGCGAAGCTCTACGACAGGCGGGTAAATGGACAAGTGCCGCTTGAGTACGCCTTTCTGGAAAGAGGAATGTCATTCCTGCAGCACATGAAGCCCAGACCTTGCAGTATTGTACATACTTGGCCCCAGATGTATATAGCAGTGAGGCTTGTCCGCGTTAAGCGTGCTTCTTTCTCGCAATCTGATTCCAATATCATATTTCAGAAGGCCTGTCGTGTGGGGCTTCGTGCCTTGGTTGCTGATGGGGTCCACGACCTTCAGCCGCAGATCACGAACAAGCGTGGACAACTTTACACCGTGCACGGAAAGGCGCCAGGCCTCAGGGTTTTTTCCCTGGCTCTCGCGGTTGTTAAGGCGAGACTCTGCTTGCTTGATATTGGCATGGTTGTGCTGTCTGTTCTTCTCTCATTCCTTTGCTGTGGTTCCAGGAAAACTCGTGGAAATCAACGTATCTACGAGCGGATCTTTCGAGGCAGTGAGGGATGCCATCATCGCAGCTGGCAGACCACAAGACATACGAATTATATTGGACTTTGAGAAAGCCGCGCCAGGGGGTGCTTCCCAAGCGCATCACTAGAGGGGTGAGCTTTCCACGCGCATGGAATGAACAAAGAGATGATCCTGGGTTGCTCCCGCAGGTGAGGGGGCCCCAACGATATAGGAGGACTTGAAGGATGGTGAAACAACTATAAAAGGGCTCATTTTCTCGAGCCACACCATATATCCAACCGAGCCCGCGTCCCTGCGCATTTCAGCCACCATGTTCCCCTAGCGGGCATGGCGCGTATGGGTTGTGCGCACAGTTTCTCGACTACCTTCAGCACAACTGGTACGGGGGGCCTTTCAGGGACATATGGAACAAATGGAACAAGCAAAGTCTCCGCACCACTAATGTAGCCAAAACCTTCAACAGGTTTTTTTCGTTACGGTTATGAAATGCTTTCTTGTCTCATAATATCTGATGACTTTCAGCGAACTGGGAGTTGTGCTTGGAGTGAGGTACCCCACCCCCCCGCCATGGCGGACCTCATTCTCGCACTGAACGACTTCGTGGGTAAGGCACGTGGAACACTCGACAACGCTGATCGGGTCAGTTTCCACTCCAGCTGTTACCCACATCTCCTTCTCAACACTATTTATTTACAGAGGAGAGCGGAACCGAAGCGTGTTCGCCCGGAGGATATCCAGCGACGTCGTCGCGTCGCCAGGGAGATGGCCCGGTTCAAGGCCATCCTTCGCCTCAACACCTTCATTCTGACGGCAACGATAACTACTTATTGTCGCCGAATGTCGCAGTTCATTACCGAACAATCGCGTACGCAGTGAAAGGGATGCGTCCTTCTATCTCTCTACTATTTCTATCTTCTCTCTTCTCTATCTCTATCTCACTTCGATTTCTCTTCTACGATAATTCAACGCCCAGCTGATGAAGTGGCATGACTTGCATTTTTCAGGAACATGGAAGCAGGCGATGCCATGGAGGGACGGACGATGGTGCGGTAGACACAACTATGCAATCGCGATCTATGGACAAACGGCGAAGACACTGCTGTGCGACATCTTTGTAAGCAGGGCACACATCGTTGAGAAAATCTTATCAAGGATGGCACTCGTGCATTAGAGAGGAGGGGGAGGGGCTGTGGGGTGACAAATGGGGAATGACGCCAACATTGGAGGAAAAAAGGTCTTAGGGGACTATCTTCAAAACCGACATCTTCGCCAAATGGCGATGCTTGTAAACTGCTCTGTAGCTTAGTGTTTGTACTTGTATTTATCTTCTCTGCACCTCCATTTCCTGTAGTTTACAATAAAGCTTTACACTCCTGCAAATGTGAAGAGCGGCAAAATACAACAGTAGAGGTTCACAAAAAGATGGCGAATATTAGCAATGTAGTAGTGAATAGTAGATGGTTGGGCGTTGTTGCTGGGGCCAGGAATTCAAGAAATTGGCTATTGCAGAGTTCCCATAATGTGGGGTCAGCGGCGCACGTGCAAACAACGCATAATCTTTCTGCTCCAGTGCAGCAAACCTGGGAGTATGGTAAATGCAACTCCGGGTTCGTGCTCGCGCCGTGGCCGCTCGGCGGCGCGGCGCAGCTTGTGCGTCGTGACCTGACTTGCTGACGATAGAATCGCCCGACTCCCGCTCTACGTGAACAACGAGGAAATGAGACGGTTACCGTGACATCTTTGAACTCTTGTACGTGATCCTGTTGATGAAAGCACTGTACCCCAAACAGATAGAACGGACAGCAGCTGCCAAGCAGTCGACGGTGGCAGTGAAACATCCAGCTAGCCAGGAAAGCGGGGCATTTCAGGGAGAGGACTTCGCGGGGATCGATGTGTTGAAGGATTGGTCAGTTGTTGCGTAGACGCCATCGAAATGCGCAAGGACCTGCGGCGGCATAACAACGATATGGGCTGGTCGCAATGGCAATAGAATGCCGGACGAGAGAGGGCAGAGAAGATCAGAAGACCGATGCATTCAATCGAGTTAAGTCCAAGTTGTCCGTAAACCTGTAAAAACAAGAAAGTCAAAGTTATGAAAGTTCCGGATTTGAATCCCTGAAGAAGCAGGCGGAGTCGTCTGCGGGTGGTATTTCGACCTTTCACTAGTTGCGCATCTGCGAAATAGCAATAGTGCAAAAAAAGTAGAAGTAGAGCGCAAAAAAATAAAATTTCAAAAATCGAAAACTGGGTGTAGGTGCAGTGCGGGGCCCGCTTGGTGTCTACGGTAGCAACGAGTGGGATGGTGGCTCCCTAGAAGAATAACTTGATGCTTTGCGAAGATATTATTAAACAGGAAAAGGTAAATCTGCGAGGGACTTTATGAGGCCACCGGTGGGCTTCATGCACGGCAAATTGGCTCTGTCGCCCTGTATTCTCGGCAAACGCGATTGTCGCAACACATATTCGAACGTGCCTTCAAACGGTGATAGGTTATGCTCGCATAGTTGGGCTAGTTGGTTGCTGTGTTCGCTTCGCGACGTCAGCATCGCCAACGCAGGACGTTGATATGGGCATGATCATCTAAGCTGAATATTTATGCATGTGCGTGGCCTTCCGTCATTAGCTCACTATTCGCTTCGAAGTCATCACATGCGGTGCTTATGTTGAATTGCGAAATTTTATGAAATCAAATAATGGTCAGTTTCCCCTTTTTGTTCCTATTTTCGTGATTACGGTAGTCGCCTTCAGATTGGATGGACTCACGACTTGTATTTCTAACCGGATACGTAGATTCATCGCAGACGCTATGGTGCCGAAGTCTGGGAGCAGATCATGTAAGTCAAAGTGTATTTCTGAGTTCTCCCCAAGATATGAGTGGTGTCATAGGAGGAAAGCTGGATTCGCCCAAAAGAGTGATATCGACGTCCAGACGTACTACGATGACACGGAAACAATGCGAATATTCAGATCTGCAGCTGGCGTGCTCGGTTAGCAAGCCTGCTTGGCCTACTGTTTAAGGCAAATAAAAACAACACTTTTAGGACTGTCAGTAGACGATATGTGGGAGATGTATGGCGAATTCCTCATCACATACGCATGTGAGACGGGATGGGAAAAGATGCTCGCGTGTATGGCCAACAATTTGCAGGTACGGTTTAGGGATGTTCTACGAAACGGTAGTGGAGAAATTTGTTTGGAGGCACTACGCCGTTGATAGACTGCCAGTGGGACACCGAGTTAAGGCGTATCGCATTTGCGCTTTGTTTGCGAGAAGTGCTTCTCCTTCAAGGAGGTCCTGCCGTGGAGGCAGGAAGGTTCGCAAAATACGATTCCATCCCTGGGAAACTCTTCTCTGGTACGCCCTTCCCTATGCCCCACCGTAAATCGTCTATTCCTTCTTCTCTGCCCGAATTCTATACACTGTACCCGGAGAAATTCTCCATTTTCACATCAAGAAAACACTCGCGTTGCCGGGCCAGGCGGTAAGGGACAGTAATTATATTGCGCCCGCATCCGGACTTGATTAGTGGTCGGGCAGGGGATCGCGAGACGGGGTGGCGGAAGCGGTCACGCAGGCGCGGCGATCAGCTGTTCCATCCCCGCATTTTACCCATTTGCCTCGCATAATTCACGCTGTTTTGGCTACTTTTCTCACGATTAGTTATTCCTTGTCTTCACAGGGAAAATTATGATTGAGATTCCTCTGATTTTTGCGTACAATTAAACAGTTAAGCAGACAGTTGGAAAGATCCTGAAAAAAATCGCAAAAATACTCTATTGCAAAAACAACAAATAGACCAGCCTCTTAATGTCGCTTTACAAAGACAATGAAAAACAATTAACACGGCTTAAAAATACAGTGAAATTAGGGAGAAAATGGCCAAATGAGGCTGGAAACACCTGATCGCCGCAGTCGTGACGCGTCGCGACCCTTGCCGTCCTGAACAAAATGCGCGCGGATGCCGACTGTATATAGCGTCAGTAAATGGTGGAAGCAAAAAAACAAACAACGACAGAAAATACACACACCACGCATAAAACATTTGTTTTCCAGAAGGAATATTCGCTGCCTTTTCTCACCGACATGAATAGATTCTATTGCTGGGAATGCTTAACATTCGATCGTGGCCCGCTATCACCCTTTTTTGAGGGAACCGCTTCGTGACAATGCTGGTTTCATAAATAGTTAAGTTTCTTGTACAACTGCGGCATCGCCATAGGACGTCTCAAGCCCGAAATCGTTTTTTTCTACTATGCTTCCGGTAGTTTGCCATCCTCCCTCATTCTCCACTCGCCATGCAAATCCACTGTGGCTTTTGGGTGTAATTTGGCCTAATTAACTGCTGTCAGACGATGTGCATAGTAATCGTTTGATAAAAATCTTGCACAAAATCAGCTAGAAGTCAGCACGAAACCCAGCAGGACCCGAAACCCGTCAACTTCAGTAATGGCTCCAACTGATGAATTTTAATTTTCTATGGCGGAGGCGGTGTAATGGCAAGTGGCGCGCTTACCACGAGAATCGAATTTGGGATCGGCTGCTCACCCAGCGGCCGAACTGGAGCCATGCTAGCTTTCCACGCGGGGAAGGTAGCTTGGTATCAGATCCATCTGGGAGGTTAATAACAGTGACTTGCACATAGGCAGGTCCCGCGAGTCATTGTATGGGTCACATCGCATTCAATAAGTCATCACGATTCTGAATGGCAATAGAATGCGTGCCGCATTCCAGAAAGGAATTGGTTAACGCGAAGACTTTATCCTTTTAATTTTCAACTACGTCTGTGCCGTCATGGAGTGAGAGCTTAGTACATTTCATATCCTAGGAGTCTTATTCAAGTGTATCTATACTTATTAGGATGCCTCATCAGTAATCTCTCTAGTTCTAGTAATAGTAGTAATGTTTCTGTCACAAAATATGTAAGGCATTTTGTCAGTATTTTCGGTATTATTTGACATTTGTATTAGTTGGTAGAGAATTTCATGCTCTAAGGGGTGAAATGGACAAAGGGGTCTGCGCCTGTAAGTATAACCCTTTCCCCCCCTGAACGTGCTCGCCTGTTACTAAACCCAATATTAGACCTTCCAAGTTGTTAACAATTCATGCTTCCCGAAATCAATAACATTTCTGACGCAGTAGACGAGATGTCGTGAGATGATTATTTGATGAATTCCGAGTAATTCTGCACTCCCAAGGTAAAAATTGCGAAATGAATTTATAAATAATAAGGTTTTTGTAGGAGTTCCTGGACAATCTGAACTCGATGCATTACTTCATTGATCAGATCGCCTTCAAATCCGAGATGCGAGGGCCAACATTTCAGTGCGAGGCAACTGGCGAAGGGTTTTTGCGTTTACATTATTTTTCCCATAGACAGGGATTGTTTCCCATTGTCAAAGGTGAGACTGTTACAGTATGCTTAGCATCCAGTTCATCTGTTAAATAATAAAGCTCATCACGTAGGTTTGGTTCGTCAAGTATCTCGACTTCTCTTTGACATGGACGTGAAATTGACGGTTATTGAACGATCTCAGGAGAGGCGGAAAAGTGGCATGGTCGAACACGTTGTGTTCTCACTTGAACCCGATGAAGAACATCGGGCTGGCAAACGTAATGCCTACAAATTCAAGCGCGATAATCGCTCGCATAGTGAGGCGGAACAGCCTGACCATGTAAGTAAGTGATTGAACACCTTCATTCGTACTTTGGTTTGTACTAAAATCAGGCAATTCCTGCATTTTCCGTGTTTCCCGTCTTTTATTCAGCAGCCAATGTTCTGGAAACCTCTTAAAGTCAGATCTCCCTCTCTCTGCTCTCCCCCCTCCCCGCTCACCTTATTCGTAGACGTCCCTCCTTGTTCAAGTAATCTGTTCCGCAGTCTCCATGACTGTAACTTCCGCGGCTTCATTGTAGGTACACTCTAGTTCTCTGCGGACGGTTGGGCGTGTCAGCCAGTATGAGTGTGTCACCCTATCAGAGCCGTTCTCTGCCTTCTTGTTGAAGAGCGCATGCGACAAAAAGTGGTAGAAAACGAGTAATACGAAGCATATGATACAGTATTGTCACTTGCCCACTTCAACAACAGGTGTGGAACGAGTTTGGCACCGCGCCAAACGCAGCAACACGGACACGCCCAATCGTCCGCAGCGATCTACACTATAACGGCGCTGTGGCCCTCATAAGTGACAGTACTGACGCCTTCCTAGTTGTACTACCCACCACGGCTCGAAGGCTATTTTCTGTCACGAGTTCAGTGTTTACACCGTGGTTTTCGTTTTTTTTCTCAGATGGTATTCGCATTGGGTGACGTGAAGAAACGATTTAAAGGCAGTTGGCACAATGGTTTCCTACTTACCATTAGCCTAAAATGCTATTAGGGCGCTATGTAGTAAAGAAATGGCGGAAGAAGAGAGTGAAACGGTCAAAATCGGGCGAAGAAAAAGCCTCCGTTTTGAATGACTTGAAAATCGATTTCGGACGAGTTTCCCGTACGCATCTTGCCAATCACCGCTACCGAAGATACGGCTGCATATGTGTACCCATATATGCATGCAGCATCACCGCCGCTTCATACCAATCCCTTTGCTTCATAATTTGCTCAGCAAATGAATGAATACGAGCGTCAGAAACGGTCGTCCGTTTGTGGGCGGGCGGGCAAGGAAGGCGTTTGGGACGTAAAGTTGTTGCTCAGTAGGGCGTTAGAGGTACCCTCCTTGGAAAAGGCTTCACGCAGCGCCTGTCCGAGGTCACGGAATTCTGTTAAGCCAGTTGTACAAATCCTACACCTGTATAACGATTTATCATGCCAACTGCCTTTAATGTCGAGGATGCGGAATATCTCTCTGTTGGCATGAAACCAGCAGGCTCTGTAAATTCGTACAGTAAGTCTGCCTCGCGAGTCACCTAGCCCCTATAGGTCCTTAATTGAACGCCACCACCAGAATGTATAATCGCAGGGTTCGCCTTTAATAAGCTAGCCCACTTCAAAGACAGCGTCCGAGGGCGCAAGGGGGGGGGAGGAGCTGAGCCTTCGCATAACGTGTTCACTCTTCTACGCCAATCCTCCAATATAGGCGCGATAATAGAGCCTCTTACCAACGCCATATCCGAGATGTCTCGATGCTTCATGCTTAGTATGTTTAATATCTTAAAAGTAAAAGCAGTAAAATTGAGTGCTATTCTACTTGGAAGGGGTATTTCGCACATATGCTGATTGATTCTGTCACTTCATGTGCAGTAACAGTGAGGCGCCTACAAACAGTAGTTAAGCTGCAGAATGGCGCAAAAGAACCACCTGATCGCATGACTGTACAGGTTTTTAGAAGGTGACCTGTACAAATTCAGCTGAGTACCAGTCTATAACCCTCCCAAAAACCAATCGCGCGGTAACACTGTCGAATACCTGCATTTGTTTTATTGAGGTGTGTCAATACATATTATTTTATGAGGTAGTGGTGGTGTAGTGTTTGTACCACATGCACAGACCGGTGGTCCAATTCTCCGGTTGACCCCCGCCCAGGCCCACCAAGCCTTTCAACATCTAGGCCAGAACAACTGATACCACTCTTGTCAGGGGGTCAAGATTACTGGCTTGTAGCTCAGCTCCCCTTAAAGGCACTTTCGCAATAAACTAATCGCTATAACCTCTTTAAATTGTGTTTAGGTTTTATCCAGGTAGTGATTGTAGAGGTCGCACTGCGCATTCAAAACATTGTCATAATGTGTACACAATCACGTAAACTTTGATTTCAGGTCCAAGGCAGGGCCATCGCGGATTACCTTGCCGTGTGGGTAGAACTAATGGCCGTGGTGCTCTCTCGCCGTCTTTTCTGGCTCCTCTCTCCTGCGCGCTTTGCAGTGTTCGTGAACAAAACACGCTTCTGCATATGCGCTGTTGACTTAGGCATCTACTCTCTCCCAATGATCATGACCAAGTGCAAGGAGGAGGGTCATATTAAGGACGGTTCCTCACACTTTTTCCTTCACTACTATATGTCCAACTGAGCAGCAATGACTCCTTGTTTTTGAATTCGCTGGCTACCTATGTTGTGCAGTCCGGGAAGGTGCCTTTAAAATCACTGTATGAGCCTCTCACGGCCAAATTATAACCCCTACGATAGTGATATGGAAAAAAAAAAAAATTTAGTGCATTACACAATCCCATTAGAGAATAGATCAACGAAAAAATGTATACCATTTTCGCTTGGCTACTTTTTTCTGCTTTTTTTCTTTCCTTTTTCTTATTTTTTTGTCGTTGTTCCAGTTGCTTTTGCGCCACCTCTGTAGCAGCATAGCGTTGTATTTCAGAGTATTCCGCTAGCTGTCACTTTAAAAGACTTCTCAACGATATTCCCTTATCATATCTGTTTCAATAGACAAATGGTGGTGGAACATGTCGGTGAGTAATAGCCGCTCGTTGTAACTACATCGTTCTTCATATTCATTATTCATATGCCTTTTTTGATCTTTTAATTAGATTTACGTTATAATTTTTTTGCTGAATTCGCTATCGCACTATTTTATTTCATTACTTACAATTGGGTGAACCCTCCAAACAGCAGTAAGCTGAAACTCTTCTTATACTGCTTCTCTCGGTTCGAAGATAATAGGTTTGCGAGGTTGTCCTCAATGGTTACATAACCTGGCGAAAGCGGCGCTGCAGTATCGTCACGCGCGCGATATTCGCTCCAAAGTCCAATTGACGGAAGAGGACAGAAGGACCGTAAGTTTGCCGCTCCGCCGCGCGCGGCGATGGGCGCGGCGTTTTTTGATTCGTGTTGGCCTGTCGATTGGAGCACCGGTTTTCACAAGAGCTACGAAACTGCAGACATTTTGACTGTGTCCGATTCTATATTACTTGTTGTCGCCATCTATGACCTGGATCATCCGTTCTTTGGCGGACGCGACTGTCGCAACGCGGACGCCTCTAGGCGTGTCATGTACCCAATTGTAAGTGATACAATGCCACAAAGTGCCAGGTTAATTGGCAATAAATAGCGCAATTGTTTGTGCTCGTCACCGTGGCGTAAAGCTTTAGATACAGGGTACAGCATCGGGATTGGAGAAATAACTGTGTCATGTAACCCGCATCCCGCACCAAAAGTTTTCCCACGTTTGGTACAATCACCGCCGGCAGCCGGCACCTCCCCCACTTCCTATCGTAGCTACCATCCTCTTCAATGCTCCCAATTCTCTGATATTTGAAAAAGCATTCCTGATTTTTAAAACAATTTGCAAAAGTCTTGCATACACGAGGTGAATTTCCTTCCGGAAAATGAACGATGTGAGATTTCAACTGTAGTTACTGCTTAGCTGTCCTGGCCCCTTCTTAAACGAAATTCAGCCATGCCCAGCCCCAGTCGCCGCCTCGCTTTCGCGTAGCTAAAACGATTCTGCTGACATTTAATAGCTTTACTTGTAAATATTTGAACAGTATATGAAACGTGAGCTGAGCAGATTTTTTGAAGTATCTCTTGAAATCCTTCCTTGTAGGTAGGCATTTGTTGGTCGAGTATGGGAGTGGCAGACAAGAAGATGCTAAAGCTAAACGAACTAGTACAACTCATTCAACCGGCTGATATTCAGGTTATCTAGATGCTTCTCATAGGCGTTTATTCGCACTGTGTTTAACATTTTCAGCAGCTCACACACAAAAATATTATGACATATCTTAATACCCTATTTATATTCCAACTTAAACATCACTGTCAACGGAGTGAAGTGGAAAAGAACTCCAGTGAAGCCTTCCAACAACCGCTCTCACTCAAAGGTATGTCGTTTACTCACAGGGCACTCACTATAGGGCACATTATAGCCGTAAGGAGGATTGGTTGTTTAGCACAACTTTCCTTTACAGCTTTGCCAACCGCCGCAATCTCTAGTACTTCTTGACTCTAATTTTTAGTACTCTAGCCCTCGATCTGAAAGGCTTGTGTCGTCGGGAAGGATGAACGGTTAATAGTACTGGCGCATAGCGGCCTTGCTCTGTAGTAAATAGGCCCGCAGTTGCAGTAGCGTGCCTTTTAGGATATATATACTCTATACTTCTCCATGAAAACGGAACCGAAAGGGGTTTAGCGAGTCCAGGGTATCTTTTCCTTACTCTGCTCCTTCGCCCGCAATGCAGCACGGCCAGCCATACGTCTAACCATAGAAAAACCCGCTACTTGCCCGCGCCGACTCAATTCGGGTTCTCTACTTCTGACTGTGTGTCTACTGCGCAATTGTGGTCTCGAGGCTAGTGCTGCACTTTGGGGATAGCGCGGGGTTAATCGGAAGGCGCCCACTGCGGTACCACTACGCTTCAGCTGCTGTTCTCCTGCAGAAAAAGGCAGGTTATTGCACTTGCGAGCGCATTCTTCCCTCACATGGCAAAGGCAGATCGCAGGAGACAGTGTACAATTAGTCGTGAATTGTAGGAGATCATCTCAGAAAAGCCAACTGTACTGTGAATATTGATTGCAGTTACCCTCGAAATCCCTGGGATGCG